TGAAAACATGAATAGCAATGACAGCCATCAGCCGAAGAATAAGTAAATTACACAGCGTTCGTAAGGCAGCCTTTCAACAAATCCAAGTTTCCAAGTTCCTAGCCGTTTTTCTTAATGTTTACACATCTGTTAACACTATATATTGTCTGTTACAATCCACAAATATGTTTTCTTTTCGTTTAAAAAGGTGTATGACTAACAAATCCAAATGATATTTCCTCTGAATCAAATACAATTATTTTCCTCCCGTAAAATACACAACTTTTAAAAATGGCGGCCGCTTACATTAAACCAATCGCAACTACCCGGCCCTTTCCGTTTGTCTTCATATAAGGACCTCGAACACAATAGTATGAATACACAGAACGGATGCGGTATTTCAGTCAAACCTACGCTAAGAAACTAAACATGTAAACAAATAGTAATTTAATGCTGGGAGTTGATGACAAGTTTATTTCTAATATTTGTAGTAAAATTCCACCTAAATAAGTGAATTCATAGGTACAAAAGCAAACAATACATTATTTATATATTTATTATTATGGCTGAAACCACGTGGTAGAACTACTTTTAGTCCGTATTGTTTCCGAGGTTTTTATAGATAATAGCCGAGGATGTTCCGATTGGCATTTCACAGATCCAGGTCTTATATAAATTCGCAGTATGTAACAGAAACATGGATGGATGGTTTGACTTTTTCTTCTACAAGAATTGTTTGTTTTTTATTATTAAAACAAGTGATCATTCATGTTTTTTAATAAAATGAATTATATCACCGCCATTTAACGTTGATTATTGAACTTATTTTTCAGCCCAAGACTTCTTGTATTTTATGAGAAATTGGACAAATTAATGTACATAATAGAGGCTACCAGTGAAGAAAACAGATTTTAATATTAAAGTTAATATTATGGAAATTTCGTTTTGACTTGTTTTTAAGCATAAAATAAAAAGAAAATTTGTTTGTTTATTGTGTAAGATGTAATTTTATTTCATCTCGTGAATTTTAAAAACAGTATTCTCACTCGTGGCTACGTGAGAATACTTTTTTTAAAGCTCACTCGATGAAATAAAATTTCATCTTACATACAAACAAACAAATATCCTCTATATCTTTACACGTAATATTACACCCATGTGGAAATATTATACCCATGTGGACAAAGTGCCGTGTCGAAATTGCAGGAGCGATTGTATAAAACGACATTTCGCACAATGTTGTTTCTTTTTCGGACAAAGTTCGTCTGTAAACGGTTTGACGTCATGTAAAATAAACAGAAGAACTGATCAAGAGTTTGCTTTTAATTCAGGAAATCTCAATGACCATTTTTAGATTAGTAAAACCATCTAAATGATCATCCTGAAACGTCAAAATTCCTAAATAATCTTAAGTTTTTTTTTAACCTGGGTTTTAACTTACATATCTCGGATATTTTAGACCATTGAACCGTGCTTCCCATTAAACATTTTACAACACTGAACACTGCTTTCACATGTTTTAAAATTTCATTCATTGTCTTGTGAACAACTTTTTAAACATAACAATGTACTGAGTTACAAATGTCATAACTATTATAAGTTTTGCCTACATCAACGAGACCACCAATACGCCTCACGATCCCAGAACCTCATGTGCATAAAAGACGAAATACGCCACATAAAAACTCTAAACACCTCAGATCATTTTCTGTAGTTCAAGATATTACATGATTATTGATGTGTTCAATTGATTTGAATGTCACAGAAAGAAAAAGGTTAAGCCGGACTGGGACTCCAACCCGGGACTTCCCTTCCGCTACTCTCCGGTCACTTCTCCCCATGAGATACTTCCCGCTATATTCTTCCCGATTCAATCAGAGTTACATACTTATGTGATTAAACTCTAAACTACATGTATATGCAGTCACGGTGTCACGTTGGGTGCCAAATGTCACAGGTGATAAAAATGTGCAGGCTTACCGGGCATCGAACCCAGGACCCTCGGAATACCGTTCCACGGCTGTACCGACTGAGCTATCCCGGCGCTTATATATCTTCTCCCCTACATAGTCAGTTCTGAACCATGACATATATTTCATGATCCTCATACGTATTTCTACATATTAATGAAGCATACATTAATTTGTACATGAATGGTAAAATTATACTATGCCAATTGTAGTTGAGTATATCGACAAAACGTTATTTATGAGAAATTCTGTTAAACAACGCTACATATTGATAAAAGAAATATGTTTAAATCATAAATCGCATTCGTTATTTAAAATCTAAATACTTGAAAGAAAAAAAAATAATTGAAACATAAATGTTGAGTAAGCATCAAATTGTTATTTTTTGTTTAGTATTCGGTAAAATTGTATGGGATTAAGGAAAAACATTATCCGGAAACTTACAAAGGTATTTTTCGTGTTTTGTAATAATAAATGACTTCATTTTTTCTAAAGTTAAGATCATTTTAAAGAGTAAAACAAGTACGTTACATCAACATATACAACAAAACATACCACCATGTGGAATAATTCATGCATAAAACACATATTTGCCCCATGAAACATATTGACTCCTGAAATTCATAACCTGCTTATAATCAAACATTTTAACATCCAAACGTGATTTGAAATATTTAATTTTAGGTCAGAGTCGGTGAGTTGAGATGTTGCTATACATAAAAAGCACAATACCTCAACACGTAATACCATTTGTTGCACCAAACCTACTGACAGCCCGTTATGAATGTTTTAATGAAAACATTAAATAAGAACAATTTAAATGTTGATGTTGCACATCAAAGATGCCGCAAAATGATATGAAAAGTCACAGGTAATGTACAATATCAGCCTTGATAATTGTTCTCTATTACAGTTGAATATCCGAAGCACTTATCAATTTTTCTAAAGAAAGGACCAACTTTACCTACCCTGTTATAGACTACGCAGCTTCCAATATATAGTTCTTTAAAAGTGATCTCGGGAAACATTTTTATTCATCCCTGGTTTAAACCAGTATATAACATTTTTAAAAGAACGATTATTAAACAAAGGACGAGATAACTTTATAATAAAGATGCTACACTTCTGAGTCTCGTCATATATGATGTGAGTGGTGCCAAAAAACAAATATCTTAAGTCTTAAGCAGATGGTAACATACATACATGTGATAGTAACAAAGAAGAGAATTAAAAATATGTATATAGAACAATTTTTAAATACATTCGAAGTTCAGAATGAAAATAATCAAGGAAATTCAGGCACTAGATTTATACATCTACTCACATAAGATTTAGGTGTTGAAAATGAGCATATATTTGAAATTCGAAGTAAATTCACGAAGAAAAAAAGAAAATTTTAGAATAAATCTGGAAAATTTAAAGTTTAAGGGGGAAATAAATCTGGAAATATGGACGCTAGATTTATGAAGCTTGTCATATTATTTTGATACAGTAGTTTAAAATTTGAAGTAAATCGTTTAAGAATTGAAAAAAATCATAATTTCTAGAAATAAAATCTAAGTTCAAGGGGGGGCATAATTCTAGATATGGTCAAGCTTGAGTATTGAATCTTCTCACACATGGTCTTAGTAACAAAAAGAAACATATACTTGAAAGTTGAAGAATAAAGAAAAAAAGAAATGTGGGTGATGATAAGAAAGATATTTATAAAGTTAAGTAAGAAATATTTAGAAATAAAGTAGTTACACTAAGAACAATATTGCTTTTTATGAAAGTTGTAAGTTTAAGGCGGTTATCTGATAGGTTTGCTACTAAAATTATGATCCTTGTCACATATGATGTTGATAATAAGAAACAAATATTTCAATTTAAAGTTAATACCTTGAGAAATAAAGAAGTTATAGTGAAACACAGATTTTACTGGGTGAAAACTGTAAAAACTTTAATAAGAAATCTGGACGCGGTGGCCCACGCTTGATGAGAAGGACACATCTTAATATACTCCCCAGAGTTAAGCAAAAATGATGTGAAACACTCTATATTGTCATCTATCCATATTTCAAGTTTCATTGAAATATTTTCATTATTTTGAGTCTATTTGTTGCCATAACAACCTATTTTTGTTAAACATAGGAAGAAGAAAAAAGAGACAGATTATCTCAAGACTGCCCATATTTTGATTGAATAACATTATTGTTTTACATTTTTCGTTATCAAGGAACGGACGGACAGTATTGTAAATTTTAACCAAAAGAAAGAAAACTCGAATTCATCTGTAAAATTATCCATGCGGACGGCACTTACGAAACAAATTTTTGTTGGCCATTGTTGTTGTCTTTTTTGGTACACATGCGTTTCTGCTGGTTTTCTTTTACGTAAATAATTCATTATGTCAAAAGTAATCAATCAACAGTGCCCTGAAACCGTCTGAATATTCATTCCGGCGTCAAAGGCCTCTAACAACTTTTGTTGTGCGGTGTTTATCAATGAAGTTACATCATATATGTACACTCAAGGGTGATTCATCATTTATGTACATACGTCTTAAATAACAAAAAGTTTTTATGTAAATAATAAATGAGTAAGTATTTCGTGTTGAAAGGGGTTGTATGGTTAATTATGAAGTGCAAATGTTGACAGTTCATTTTAAGGCTTTAACAAGCATGTTTAAGACACAAGATAGACAGAAGCCGTTCCGTTTTGTTGTTATTATTAAAGATCCTGTATGTTATAAATAAGGTTGTTACCACACTAAAGGGAAAATTTATATATGTATATAATCATGCTTCTTAAACAATTTTCAAACATCGAAGAATATGTAAAATATGTACTGCAAATATTTGTCCACATTATATGTAATCATTAAAATAAATTATATGCATTCATTTCTGATCGACAAAATGACTTAGACTTTATAGGAAATAAATTTCAAATTACCTCCCTTTATTTACACGAAATTGAAATTTGGTAATAACTTTGCAAAAAAATGTTTTTTGGAACTTACAATATTAAAAAAACCTTCATTTGAGCATCTTTAAAATTATTAAATCGTTATTTATCACTCGTATCATCAATGGGATTGATTGATGTGCATGCATCTTTTGACAAATTACACACAAATGTTATAAAATTTTGGTTAGATTCATAGATACTGCGGCACATTTTCAGATTGTCTTGAAGTTGCTTGTGACTAAAACCTAGAAATATTGTAGATTTTCATTTAATATTTACCGCAAGATATTAAATTTGTTATATTTGCAAAGTGGAAGGAATCGATTATAATTTTCAAAAGAGACAATTTTCGTTTTTCTTAAACACTGTTATATTGTTGATATTTCTAGCAATGACAATGGTCTGGAAACGGAATTATCTACCATATCAAACGGACAAGCAAATATTTATGAAGTTTGTCGAAGCAATTTACGAAAACATAAACAAGTTGATAGTTATCAAGAATTGGAAACGTCAGGATCAAAACGCGAAAGAAGTACATGTTTGTATTCATTGATTAATATAATTATTGCTGTTGACTTGAAAACTTTTAATCCCAAAAAGTTTCTAGTATTTGTTAGAATTCTAGTATATTCTTTTCTCAGTCTTTCTAAAAAGATCTCAATAATATAGAATTCATTAAACAATAAACTATTAAAGCTTAAAAAATAACAAACCTGTCTCTTGCCGTCTTTTGATCTCATCAATATCTCTCTTCAAATCAGTTATAGTTGCCTTTATGTCTTTAAGGCGGTAAACCTCATCTTCATAGTCCTTCCACTTTTCTATTTCTTTCTGTATCCTTCTCTCTTCTTCCAGATCAAGAGGGCAAGTTTTGAATTCGGCAATTGTTTGCTGAACATTCAAAGCTGAAGAACTTCGACGCACAAGTATCTGAAACCGGAATTAAATAACAACTTTATCATTTAAGTTTGGATGTTTGATCTTTAAATGTTTATCGAAGATGTTGACCCAACAATTTATCTGTTTATATAATATTACAAATGAAACAAGAATCATGATGGCTCTACTTATAACAAGAGGGCCATGATGGCCCTGAGGTCGCTCACCTGTATATAGGCCCCCCAACCCCCACCCCCCAACGTTGCAGGGCCAATTTAACCCAAGGGCTTTTATATGCACAATCTTGGTAGACACCCATAAGAAGATGTTTCATGCTAAACATCTAAGCTCTAGCTTTGGGCTTTTTAAAAGAAGATTTTTTTAAAGTTTTTACTATACACATATAGTTAAAAACAATGACACCCCTGGGGCCGGGCCAGTTTTGACCCCAGGGCTTTTATTGAACAAACTTTGTAGACACTTACTAGAAGATGTTTTATGCTTAATATCTAAACTCTAGCTATTTAGGTTTTTTCAAAGAAGACTTTAAATTTTTGCTATACACATATAAAGAAAATCAATGACCCCCGGGGCGGGGCCAATTTTGTCCCCAGGTCTTTTATTTGAACAAACTTTGTAGACACTCACTAAAAGATGTTTCATGCTTAATATCTTAACTCTTGCTATTTGGGTTTTTTAAAAGAAGATTTTTTAAGTTTTTGCTATACACATATAAGGAAAATCAATGACCCCCGGGGTGGTGCCAATTTTGACCCTAGGGCTTTTATTTGAAGAAACTTGGTAGACACCTATTAGAACATGTTTGATGCTAAATATATTAGCCATAGCTCTTTGATTTCTTTAAAAGAAGATTTTTTAAGTTTTTACTATATGCATATAGGGAAAATCAATGACCCCCTGGGGCGGGGCCAATTTTGACCCCAGGGCTTTTATTTGAACAAACTTGGTAGACACCTACTAGAACATGTTTCATGCTCAATTTCTTAGCCATAGCTCTTTGAGTTCTTTAAAAGAAGATTTTTTAAGTTTTACTATATGCATATAGGGAAAATCAATGACCCCCGGGGCGGGGCCAATTTTGACCCCAGGGCTTTTATTTGAACAAACTTGGTAGACACACATTAGAACATGTTTCATGCTAAATATCTTAGCTCTAGCTCTTTGGGTTCTTTAAAAGAAGATTTTTTAAGTTTTTACTATATGCATATAGGGAAAATCAATGACCCCCCGGGGCGGGGCCAATTTTGACCCCAGGGCTTTTATTTGAACAAACTTGGTAGACACTCACTAGAAGATGTTTCATGCCAAATATCTAAGCTCTACCTCTTATGGTTTTTGAAAAGAAGATATTTAAAGTTTTTTCTTTCGGTTGCCATGGCAACCAGAGTTCTGCATGGAATTAAATTCTTTGAACAATTTTTAAAGGTGACCACCAAAGGAACATTCCTGTGAAGTTTGGATGAAATTGGCTTAGTGGTTTATGAGGAGATGTCATTTAAAGTAAAAGTTTACGGACGGACGGACGCCGGACGAAAAGCGATCACAAAAGCTCACCCTGTCACTTTGTGACAGGTGAGCTAATAAAGGCTCTTGATAACAAGGACCAACTAAAACTGTTTACTATCAATAAATCTTAATCTTTTACTGATATCACAAAGGTCATATCTGCATCTGAAATCGTGCAAATGTAAGAACGTTTACGGGTTGTTATTGCTGAGAAACTTTATTAGTAATTGAAGAATTCACTGGTGGCTATACAAAACTATAGGTGTCTTTGAAAGTAAGTGGTTTCTAGTCAATGTTTGATTCCTCGATTAAAAATCAATAGTTTATATTGAAAGTTAATGGTAGCTAAGAAATAAAATGGGTCCTATGGAAATCTGAAAAGTCACTGTATACTCTGGAAAACAATAAATGCATTGAGAGTCAATAACTTCTATAGAAGTGACACGCTGAAATCACTGCTTGCTTAATTTTACATCAATAATTCACGAAAATAACTTGTTGCTAATAAACACAAGTTTTGTTTAGGAATAAAACGGCTGATATGTAATTTTCTTGTTGCTAAAGAATATAAATGGTCGTTTTTGAAGTCACTGGTTACTCTGGAAAGTCAGTGATCCTCATGAGATCACTAATTACTTTGGAAAGTCAATTGCTGCTACAGAAATAACTGAAGACAATGGTTGCTATCAAAGTCACTGATGACTGTAAAGTAAAAATTGTTGATCCACTGGTTGCTATTACATTTAAGCCCCAGTAAGGAAAATCCATGACCCACCCCCAAGGCATGGCAAGTTTAAAACCAGGGACGTCTTCTAAACTATTTTTCCTGTAAAATATCTAAGATATCTCATTGACGCACTCAAAGTACAAGAAAACCTTAAAAATTGTGACGCACTGAATGTACCGTGAACCTGAAATATTTAATCATGGAGTTTACTGGAAAACCTGAAAATTTGGAAGCACTGTAATTACTAGAAACATCAAAATTTTGTGACATTGAAAGTACTTGACACCTGAAAATCGTAAAAAAATAAAAGTACTTGACACATGAAATCGTGAAACACTGAAAGTACATGACAGATGAAAATCGTGAAACACTGAAAGTACTTGACACCTGAAAACCGACCAAGAAACTCTAAAGGGACTTGACACCTGCAAATCGTGAATTACTGAAAGAACTTGGCACCTGAAAATCGTAAAACACTGAAAATACTTGACATCTGAAAATAGTGAAATACTGAAAGCACATGACACCTGAAAATCGTGAAACACTGAATGAACTTGGCACCTGAAAATCGTGATACACTGAAAGGACTTGACACCTGAAAATCGTAAAACACTGAAAGTACTTGACCCCTGAAAATCGTGAAATACTAAAAGCACTTTATACCTGAAAATCGTAAACACTGAAAGTACTCGACACGTAAAATTCATGAAACACTGAAAGTATTTGACACCTGAAAATCATGAAACACTGAAATCACTTGACATTTGATAATCGTGACGCTCTCAAAGTACTGATAGTTGAAAATTGCGAAATGACACCGAAAATCGTGAAACACGGAAAGTACTTGACACCTAAAAAACGTGACGCACGGAAAGTACTTGACATTGAAAATCGAAAAATACTGAAAGTACTTGACACCTGAAAATCGTAAAGTACTGAATGCACTTGACACTTGAAAAGCGTGATGCTCTCAAAGTATTGATATTTGAAAGTGTCAATGTTTCTTAAGTCTAAATACACAAAGCTTTTGCAGTGATAAGTCAAAATAATTCATATTGTGTTGGAGATTTCCAAAATTTGCAAACATTATTTTCCAATCAAATGAACCATGGTCTAAAATATAAAATTTGAAACTCCTAAATAGATGGAATTGGACATTTTAACAGAAATAACCTAAGAGAGGCAAGCTAAAAATTGTATTTTGCTTTTTTGCGTTGCTTTTGTCAATATTAAGTCGTTTTACATGGTAAGAATATTTGTTCTGGAAGCAACAGAGACGACTTACTTCAAACGAAACAATAATCCGAAAAATTATTTCCAATCCCGTCATGGGTGTCCCTTAAATAGAGCGAGAAGTGCTGTAAATAATTTCAATACTCAAATGTCTACATGGGGAAATTGGCTCGTTTGAAATTTTTTCCTTGTTTTGACGTACATGTAGCGTCAAACATGTATACTTATAAATGTTTGACGCTACATGTTTATACGGATTATGATATTATATGATTCATTAAATTTGAGTTTAATATCCCATATGTTTGCATTTTTTAAAAATATATTACTTACCGTATATAATACACTTTCTTCATTTAAAAATAAATTGAAATGTTACAAAGATAACAATAATACTAGGAAAGGGAAATGTGCTCACTTGTTCAATATCATTCCACCAAGCTGTGAAATCAATTTGTTGTATTGGAGTCGTTGTTGATATATGACTTATCTGAAATAAAATAAAAAACGATATGATTCACTTGAAATATGAGCTCAAATAACTGAATCAAAAGTAACAAAAGCAACCCCCACCCGCTCTTCCTCCCGTCTACAGACCACCCACTACCCCCCTTCCAAAACAAACGAACCAAAAACAACACAAACCATTTTGTCATTGATAATTTTTAATATGAAAGTAAGGCAGATTTGTTGTACACATAGATTTAAGACCCCTTTTACGTCCACAGTAATAAGAACGATAGAATGTAAATTATGCCAAATTTATTTATACGTGTATTTATTTATACAGGATTTGTTTTCGACAATATGCAGGGTATAAAACCCAAAGAGTACGATATGTAGAAAACATCACAATACACTTCTTATGATTGAGATACAATAACTAACGGAGTTTAAAAGTCCATATCATGTAAAATGTAAAACATTTGAAAGGAAAATCACTACAAAATTATGCAAAGCTAAGCTAAATCCAATCGTTTGTTCTTAAAGGTCAAGGTAATTTATTAGTTAAGATCAAGGTCAATATGATATGTTTAAAGATTTTGTCAAAGGGCTTTTGTGTTAATGCATGACGAAAATCCATTTAGAAATTACAAAGTAATGTTAAAGTTTGTGGTTTTACACATCCATACCACCAGAAACCAAATCACTGTCAAAACATCTCGGATTGTTTCAAGTGTGCAGTAGTATCTCGGATAATTTCATGACGGCAGTAAAGCTCCGATTGTTTCATCGAAGCAGTAGAACCTTACATTAGTTCAAAACGGCATAAAAGCTCGGATGTTTCATGGCGCCAGTAGAAGCTCCCTTTGTTTCATGGCGGCAGTAAATGCTTGTATTGTCACATGACGGAATTAAAATCTCGGATTGTTTCAAGACTGTAGACAAATCTCAAATCATTTCATGTAGGCAGTTATATCACGGATTATGTAATGACTGTAGTTATACCTCGATTCATTCCATGATGGCAGTAATATATCGTACTGTTTTATGACGGCAGCAACTTCTCGGACTGTTTCATAAAGGCAGTACTATATCGGATTGTTTCATGACGATATTATATCTAGGATTATTCAATGACAGATTATTTCATGACTGCAGTATTATCTCAGATTATTTCTTGATTGCAGTTACATCTCGTAGTTATTATTTCATGACGGTAGTAAAATCTCGGTATGTGTCATAACGGCAGTAAATCCTTGGATTATTTCATGGCAACAGTTATATATTGGATTATTTCATAACAATAGTAATATCTCGGAATATTTCATGACCACAGTATTATCTCGTATAATTTCATGACGGCAGTATTATCTCGGACTGTTTCATGAAGCAGTTTTATCTAGAACTGTTTTATAACGGACGTATTATCTCGGATTGTTTTTTGATTGCAGTAATATCCCTGATTGTTTCATGACTGCAGAATTATCTCAGACTTTTTCATGATGGCACTATCATCTCGGATAGTGTTTCTTGACGGCAGTATAATCTCGGATTCTTTAATGACTGCAGTATTATCTCAGATTTTTTAATTACTGCTTAAATATCTCGGATTCGTTAATTCCTGCAGTAATATTTCGGATTATTTCATGACAACAGTATTATATATGCTTGTGTCATGACTGTATAGTAGTAATATATTAGCCTTTTTGATGGTAATAATATTAACTCGTATTTATTATAACCCATAATTATTCATAAAACTTATGATAACTCTAAAAATTTCATCTGAAATGTCTCATGTTTCATGACGTCAGTATTATCTCGGATTATTTCAGGACTGCAGTATTATCTCTGGTTATTTCATGAGTGCAATATTATCTCGGATTGTTTCTTGACGGCAGTATTATCTCGGACTGTTTCATGACGCAGTATTATCTAAGACTGTTTTAAAGCGGCCGTTTTATCTAGGACTGTTTCATAACGCAGAAATATCTCGGATTATTTCGTAACGGCAGTATAAACTTTGATTTTGTCATGTTCGCAGTATTATCTCAGATTAATTCATGAGTGCAATAATTATTATCTCGGATTGTTTCTTTATGGCTGTATTACCTTAGACTATTTTAATGTCTCGGATTATTTAATGTAGGCAGTAATATACAATATCGAATTATTTCATTTCCGTAGTTATATCCCGAATTATTTGATGAAAGTAGTAAAATTTCCGATTATTTCATGACGGCAGTAATATCTCGGATTATTTTATGATAAAAGTAGTATATTAGATTAATTCATGACGGCAGTGTTATCTTGGATTATTTAATGACTGCAGTATTATCTTTGATTGTTTCATGAAAGCAATAATATCTTGAACTGTTTATTGACGATAGTATTATCTCGAATTGTTTTTTAGCCCCGTATTATCTAAGATTGTATTATCTTGGATTTTTTTTTGAGGGTCGCAATATCACTGTTTGTTTCATGACGGCAGCAATATCTCAGATTATGACGATTATTTCATGACGAAAGTATTATCTCTGATTGTTAAATGGCGGTAGAAATATCTCTGATTATTTCCTGACGGCAGTATTATCTCGGATTGTTTCTTTACGGTAGTATTATCTCGTACTGTTTTATGTCAGCAGTATTATCTCGTATTGATTAATAACTGCACTTATATCTCGCATTTTTTCATGGCGGCAGAATAATCTTATTTATTGTTTTATGACGGCAGTATTAACTCAAATTGATTCTTGGCGGCAGTATTATCTTGGATTGTTTCATACCGGCATTATTATCTCGGATTCTTTCTTGGCAGCAGTATTATCTTTGATTTTTTCATGACGCAGTATTATCTCGGATTGTTTCTTGGCGACAGTTTTACCTCGGATTGTTTTATGACTGCTGTTTTATCTTGGATTTTTTTTGTGATAGTAATAATATCTTTTCATATTTGATAAAAGTTATAACACCTAATATCATGTTTTGATGGATTATTTTATTACACAATTAAAAGCCATGAAGTTTTCATGACAGTAATGATTACTCGAAAAATTTCATCCGATTTTTCAGATAATTTTTTAAAAACATATCCATGTTAATGGCAGTATTATCTTTGATGTTTACATGTTCGCAGAATTATCTCTGCTTGTTTCATGAGGGAAGTATTATTTTGGAATGTTTCATGGTGGCAGTTTTTACTCGAAATGTTTCCATGACGTCAATTTCAGGTTTGATTGTTTTCTTGTCTGTTGAATTATTTAGGCTTGTTTTATGACGGAAATATTATCTCGGATTGTTATATGACGACAGTATTAGCTCGGATTGTTTCATGACAACAGTAATATTTCGGATTATTTCTTGGCGGCAGTATTTTCTCTGATCATTCATAACGGCAGTATTTTCTCTTTTTAATTTATGACTGCAGTTATATCTCGGATTGTTTCTTTGCGGACGTATTATCTTTGATGGTTTATGGCGGCAGTATTATCTCTATTTCTTTTATAGTGCAATATTATCTCTAATTTCATGACTGCAGTATTATCTTGGATTGTTACATGACGGCACTATTATGTCTGTTTGTTTAATGACAGCTGTATTATCTCGGATTATTTCTTGACGGCAGTATTACCTAGGATGGTTTATTGGAGGCAGTTTTAACTCGAATTTTTTATGACGGCAGTTTTATCTTGGATTTGTTTGATGATAGTAGTAACACCTCGTATTATGTCGGGATTGATTATATCATGTTATTTATAAAAAACCTTGGGTTTTTCATGACTGTAATGATAGCTCGAAAAATTTCATCCGAAAAGTCAGATAGTATTTAAAAAATATTCACGCTTACGGATATAGTATCCTTTGATTCTTTTATGTTCGCAGTATTATCTGATTGTTTCGTGAGTGAAGTATTCACTTGGAATGTTTCATGGGGGCAGTATCATCTCGAAATTTTTCATGACGTCAGTTTTATAACGCAGTGTTTTGACGTCAGTATTATCTAGGATTCTTTTATGATGGCAGTGATGGCAATCTCGGATTGTTTCACGAGGGAAGTAATTTCCCGGATTGTTTCAGTAGGGAAGTAATATCTCGAATTCTTTCAAAGTGACATTGTTATCTCTGATTGTTTCATGAGAGAAGTATTTTATTTTATTGTTTCATGACGGCAGTATTATCTCGGATGTTTTCATAGGGGCATAATAATATCTGATTGTTTCATGAAGGATGTATAATATCGGATTGTTTTTAATGATGGCAGTATAAGCTTGCATTATTTAATGACTGCAGTTATATTTCGGATTGTTTCATGATGGAATATAAGCTCGGATTGTTTCCTGACGGCAGTTTTATCTCGGATTGATTCATGACAGCAATATAATCTCGGATTGTATCTTGACTGCAGTAATATTCCGGATTCTTTTTTGACGGCTGTATTATCTCAGATTGTTCACGACAGCAGTAATATCTGGGATCGTTTCTCCACGACAGGATTGTCTCGTATTTTTTCATGCCGGCAGTATTACCTCAGATTGTTTTATGATGGCAGTTTTATCTTGGATGGTTTCTCAACGTCAGTTATATCTCGGATTGTTTCATGACGTCAGTTTTATTCTGAATTATTTTATGAAAGTACCAATATCTTAGCCTATTTGATGAAAGCAATATAACCTCGGATAATGCCGTGATGGATTACTTCATGACATGAATTAAAGCCCGGAATTTTCATGAAAGTAATGATAGCTCGAAAAAAATGCATCGGATATGTAGGATAAAAAATTCAATTCTTGTTTAAGATGTTCAAGTTTAAACCTTTACAGTACGACTGCACAGCTACTGTAAAGATATGCAACACACCGAATTAGTTCTTGTCTAGACAATATTAAAAGTTGTACTATTATATATGTTTTAAGTATGATGATTGATTAAATTATATTTAAGTTAAACTTTGGTGGCAGAATTTCATTACTTTTAAAATACGTAGATATTTATATTGCCAATATATACATTTACTTTTATTCTTCTGTATTGCGAAGGCATGAATTTATAAATTGCATTTCGAATATACTTACTTTATTTCGGAAATCCTTTAACCGACATATGTCTGCTTCCATTGTTAAATCGGTTTGTGCTGGTGTTGCCCTCCAGTCAAAATTTTTATTTAATCCAAAGCATTTCAGGTTTCTAAGAAGACAAATAATCAGCGTGATGTCCAAATCTGACGAAGTTGGGACTTTACCACCCGCTGGAAACAACACGTCATATTGGACCTGGGTTATAACGCCGCGGCTTTTCAAACGTGTTATTGTTGACTTTTCTTGATTCAAGCACGCACTGAACGTTATGCATTGAGATGTCAGGGACTGGTCCAGTATATTTCTCAATACCAGGAGGCCACCATCAATGACTAGTATTTGTAACCGAAACAAAAATATACGGTTATCTAGCGTCTGTGGCTGACCTCCGGTTGCCATTTTGTTTACTTCTTGATTTGTTACATCTGTGTTATAGCCACATCTGTAAATGATGAAACGTACAAGTTATTTTAACAAGAGGGCCATGATGGCCCTGAGGTCGCTCACCTGTATATAGCCCCCCCCAACCCCCACCCCCCAACGTTGCAGGGCCAATTTATCCCAAGGGCTTTTATTTGCACAAACTTGGTTGACACCCATAAGAAGATGTTTCATGCTAAACATCTAAGCTCTAGCTCATTGGACTTTTTAAAAGAAGATTTTTTTAAAGTTTTTATTATACACATATAGTTAAAAACAATGACACCCCTGGGGCCGGGCCAGTTTTGACCCCAGGGCTTTTATTTGAACAAACTTTGTAGACACTTACTAGAAGATGTTTCATGTTTAATATCTAAACTCTAGCTATTTGGGTTTTTTCAAAGAAGATTTTAAGTTTTTGCTATACACATATAAAGAAAATCAATGACCCCGGGGGTGGGGCCAATTTTGACCCAAGGGCTTTTATTTGAACAAACTTTGTAGACATTCACTAAAAGATGTTTCATGCTTAATATCTTAACTCTAGCTATTTGGGTTTTTTCAAAGAAGATTTTTTAAGTTTTTGCTATACACATATAAGGAAAATCAATGACCCCCGGGGCGGTGCCAATTTTGACCCCAGGGCTTTTATTTGAACAAACTTGGTAGACACCTATTAGAACATGTTTCATGCTAAATATCTTAGCCATAGCTCTTTGAGTTCTTTAAAAGAAGATTTTTTAAGTTTTTACTATATGCATATAGGGAAAATCAATGACCCCCCGGGGCGGGGCCAATTTTGACCCCAGGGCTTTTATTTGAACAAACTTGGTAGACACTTATTAGAACATGTTTCATGCTAAATATCTTAGCTCTAACTCTTTTGGTTCTTTAAAAGAAGATTTTTTAAGTTTTTACTATATGCATATAGGGAAAATCAATGACCCCCTGGGGCGGGGCCAATTTTGACCCCAGGGCTTTTATTTGAACAAACTTGGTAGACACCTATTAGAACATGTTTGATGCTCAATATCTTAGCCATAGCTCTTTGAGTTCTTTAAAAGAAGATTTTTTAAGTTTTTACTATATGCATATAGGAAAAATCAATGACCCCCCGGGGCGGAGCCAATTTTGACCACAGGGCTTTTATTTGAACAAACTTGGTAGACACCCATTAGAACATGTTTCATGCTAAATATCTTAGCTCTAGCTCTTTGGGTTCTTTAAAAGAAGAATTTTAAAGTTTTTACTATATGCATATAGGGAAAATCAATGACCCCCCGGGGCGGGGCCAATTTTGACCCCAGGGCTTTTATTTGAACAAACTTGGTAGACACTCACTAGAAGATGTTTCATGCCAAATATCTAAGCTCTAGCTCTTATGGTTTTTTAAAAGAAGATATTTAAAGTTTTTTTCTTTCGGTTGCCATGGCAACCAGAGTTCTGCATGGAATTAAATTCTTTGAACAATTTTTAAAGGTGACCACTAAAGGAACATTCCTGTGAAGTTTGGATGAAATTGGCTTAGTGGTTTATGAGGAGATGTCATTTAAAGTAAAAGTTTACGGACGGACGACGGACGGACGGACGACGGACGGACGGACGGACGCCGGACGAAAAGCGATCACAAAAGCTCACCCTGTCACTTTGTGACAGGTGAGCTAAAAATTCAACAATTGCTTTAAACACTTCTTATACATATAATTATGCTTAGAATCGTTATCATTATATAAACAATATATGTTAATGATTTCGATACTTTAAAATGGAATTGTTGACAGATTGTGTTTCTGTCAAATAACTTAGATTAATACTTTATTATTCTAATTTATTTAATACAAAAATAGCCATTTTAAAGAGAAAATGATTCAATAACTATTTATGTGATCAATAAAAATAAATATCTAGTTAAAGAATTCAAAACTAAATTGAATATCATTTATTGTAGTCTGGGATAACAATTACATCCGTTTTGTTGAATTTTGGTAAAACAATAATCGATGGTGATATAAATAATGATAAAACATAAACACGTCCACATTATCTTTTGTTCTAAAGATAACAATTTAATGATCCTGTAACTCAATTTTTTATGTATTTAATCATAAATATGACGCTCAAATGAAGATTTATGAATATTGTAAGTTTCAAAAAGCATTATTTGGAAAGATATTACCGAATTTACATCTCATTTAAATAAAAAGGGGAAATTAGGAATTTATTTTCCATAAAGTCTAAGCCAATCTATTTCAATAAACAAGAGCTGTCCGTAAGACAGCGCGCTCGACTTTTTTATTGCTTGCCAATAAAAAAAGTTTTTGCAGTAAAAGGCAATACAAGAATCTCTGTATTTTTAAAGTGAACAATGGCCATGAGCATTAAGATATTTAGTGAAGAATTATTTTACTGAATTGTGTGATACCCTTGAACACTGCAGCAAAGTTTGAAATGTTTAAGTCAAAAGAGGGCTGGTAAGAAAGAAAAAAAAAACTAAGTCGATAAAAGGCCTTAATTTTTAAAACAAATCCTTGACAGAGTTACCTTCTCTTGCGTACAGATGGGGGTAATGATGTGAAATAGCATTAAAAGTTTCAAAGCAATATCTCAAAGGGTTAAGGCAATAAGTGGATTTTACCCATATTCAATGTATTTTCTAAGTCAAAAAGGGGCATAATTCTGTCAAAAACCTTGACAGAGTTATGTCCTCTTGTCTGTTGATGAAGGTCGTGATGGTAAACAAGTATGGTCAGTTTCAAAGCAATACCTCCAATGTTTTGAAATAAAGTGAGGTGGTACAAAAAACTTAACCAAGCTCAATACACTTTCTAAGTCAAAAAAGGGCCATAATTCTGTCAAAAACCTTGACAGAGTTATGTACTCTTGTCTGTAGATGGAGGTTATGATGGTGAACAAGTATGGTAAGTTTCAAAGCCATACTTGTAATACTTCTGAAATAAAGTGGGGTGGTACGAAAAACTTAACCAAGGTGTGACGCCAACGCCGACGCCGACGCCGACGCCGGGGCGAGTAGGATAGCTCCCCTTTTCATAGAAAAGTCGAGCTAAAAATGAATGCATACATTTAATGAATACTTATAATGCGTATAAACATTTGCAGTACATAATACTTTATTGCGTATATGTTTAAAAAAGCTTTAAAAAAGAAAAATAGGTCATCAGGTAGAACAATCTTGGTCAACTGATATCCTATCAGATTTCGTTAATCATTGAGGAGGTTTATTAGACGATGACGATACATAACGAATACTTGACATTTAAGCATTGCATTTCAAGAAAAGGTATTTCAAAAAAGACTCTACGCAAGGTCAATCATTATTTGAATGAACTTGGTAGTGACCGAATATGCAATAATACACACAATATCTATGCTCTAGCCTTTATTTCAATTGAGAAAACAGTTGTTTTACGTTTTGTTTTCATACAATTAACTGACCCAAGGGCAAGGCTAGTTTTGATCCAAGAAACATGATTGGACCAAATTTTGTTTAAGTTATCAAGGACCAGAAACAGTGCACCACAAAAGCAATACAAATATTTGATTTATATTAATATTAATAATTATTAATAAGTTGGAAGCCAACAGGGCAATACTACAGAAACAATGTCTAAATCATATCCATGAATTTGGTGTTGCACTAGAAATGTGGGTAGTCTAATGTTGTTTATAACAAAGCTAATCATTACCTCTAACTACCAAAGGGGAATTACTGAAATCCCTTCATGCATTAGTGGCTTGATCAGGCGAAACGAATAAAAGTACCTACAAATGATTTTTTTCGATTGACAACGCATAATGCCAGTCTTTAATATGTTTACACGCTCATTAATCTGTCAATACATTATTTTTTTTTTACATTCATTACAATAGAGACTAAGAAATATGATACAATTCAACTCATTTGAAGGGCGCAGACAGATTGATATTTAAGTTAATGATTTGCCGTTTCTTGACGAAGTACTGCGAATGACTTAACATTACATGTGAAATCGCAGCGATTTCCTTTTTATCTTACACACTCCCGTACACACTCCCGTAACTGATTCATTATTGGACACATGCACACAACAAGAAATTGAGATGGCGTTTATATGTGTATTCTCCCTGCAGTGCTATTTTTGGGGATTTGTGACTAGTTGTGAGCTAACACTATTTAGTTGCTTACATTATTTTTTTTATATATATAAAACAGATGCAAAAGAAGAAAAAACATAAATGACTTATTTTACTGATTCATAGTGTTTTGTTGTTGGGAGTTGTAATAATCAAGTAGACTTCACAAAATAGTGATATAACACAAACACATGTATACTCTACAAGATGTAAATTTATTCTCCTAAAATCCCTAACATCGAGGTACTGGCTAGACATGTTATTGAGCATGCGCGATGGATATTGCTACCATCAAGAAACAATCCAAGATAATACATTCTTAGATAATACGGGGCTAAAAAACAATTCGAGATAATACTGCAGTCATGAAATTGGCTCAGACAGAGCCTCGTAAATTTTGGAAACATGTAAATAGACCGATTAGTAAATAGTCCACCCAACCGGATACATGTAGTTTAACATTAGAAAATTTAAGAGCACATTTTAGCCACCTGTTAGGTGAAAATGTCGTCAATGAGGAATTTGACCCTTTTGATAATCATTTAAACACTGAATTATTTAGTGAAGAGTTTGATGTTGATATTACATATGATGAATTACACCGGGCATTTTATAGTCAAAATAATAATAAATCCCCAGGAATTATTGGTTTACCTGCAGAACTGTTTAAGTCGTCCTTTGATTTAATTCGTCCCTTCTAGCTTAAATTATATAATAGGGCATATAACAATTGTGAGTACCCTGTTCTGTGGGGGAAAAGTACCATTACTATCATCTTTAAGAAGGGTGATGTAAATAATGCAGAAAACTATCGAGGAATCTCATTGATACCAATTCTTGAAAAAATTTATTCACAAATATTGCTGAACAGACTCACTAAGTGGTTTAATAAGTAGT